CTCCCCTGGTATAACAAGAGTCTATTCTACCTCCCCTGGTATAACAAGAGTGGATTCTCCCTCCCTGATATAACAAGAGTCTATTCTACCTCCTGATACAACAAGAGTCTATTCTACCTCCCCTGATATAACAAGAGTGAATTCTACCTCCCCTGATATAACAAGAGTCTATTCTACCTCTCCTGATATAACAAGAGTGATTCTCCCTCCCCTGATATAACAAGAGTCTATTCTACCTCTCCTGGTATAACAAGAGTCTATTCTACCTCCCCTGATATAACAAGAGTCTATTCTACCTCCCCTGATATAACAAGAGTCTATTCTACCTCCCCTGATATAACAAGAGTCGATTCTACCTCCCCTGATATAACAAGAGTGGATTCTACCTCCTGATACAACAAGAGTCTATTCTACCTCCCCTGATATAACAAGAGTCTATTTTACCTCCCCTGATATAACAAGAGTCTATTCTACCTCCCCTGATATAACAAGAGTCGATTCTACCTCCTGATATATAACAAGAGTGGATTCTACCTCCCTGATACAACAAGAGTCTATTCTACCTCCCCTGATATAACAAGAGTCTATTTTACCTCCTGATATAACAAGAGTCGATTCTACCTCTCCCTGATATAACAAGAGTCTATTCTACCTCTCCTGATATAACAAGAGTGGATTATACCTCCCCTCATATAACAAGAGTCTATTCTACCTCCCCTGATATAACAAGAGTGGATTCTACCTCCCTGATATAACAAGAGTCTATTCTACCTCCCCAATATAAGAAGAGTCTATTCTACCTCTCCTGATATAACAAGAGTCTATTCTACCTCCCCTGATATAACAAGAGTGGATTCTACCTCCCCCTGATATAACAAGAGTGGATTCTACCTCCCCTGATATAACAAGAATCGATTCTACCTCCCCTGATATAACAAGAGTGGATTCTACCTCCCTGATATAACAAGAGTCGATTCTACCTCCCCTGATATAACAAGAGTGGATTCTACCTCCCCTGATATAACAAGAATCGATTCTACCTCCCCTGATATAACAAGAGTCGATTCTACCTCCCCTGATATAACAAGAATCGATTCTACCTCCCCTGATATAACAAGAGTCGATTCTACCTCCCCTGATATAACAAGAGTCTATTCTACCTCCCTGATATAACAAGAGTCTATTCTACCTCCCCTGATATAACAAGAGTGGATTCTACCTCCCCGATATAACAAGAGTCTATTCTACCTCCCCTGATATAACAAGAGTCGATTCTACCTCCCCTGATATAACAAGAGTGGATTCTACCTCCCCTGATATAACAAGAATCGATTCTACCTCCCCTGATATAACAAGAGTCGATTCTACCTCCCCTGATATAACAAGAGTGGATTCTACCTCCTGATATAACAAGAGTCTATTCTACCTCCCCTGATATAACAAGAGTCTATTCTACCTCCCCTGATATAACAAGAGTGGATTCTACCTCCTGATATAACAAGAGTCTATTCTACCTCCCTGATATAACAAGAGTCGATTCTACCTCCCCTGATATAACAAGAGTCTATTCTACCTCCCTGATATAACAAGAGTCTATTCTACCTCCCCTGATATAACAAGAGTGGATTCTACCTCCTGATATAACAAGAGTCTATTCTACCTCCCCTGATATAACATGAGTGGATTCTACCTCCCCTGATATAACAAGAGTCTATTTTACCTCCCCTGATATAACAAGAGTCTATTCTACCTCCCCTGATATAACAAGAGTCTATTCTACCTCCCCTGATATAACAAGAGTCTATTCTACCTCCCCTGATATAACAAGAGTGGATTCTACCTCCCCTGATATAACAAGAGTCGATTCTACCTCCTGATATAACAAGAGTCTATTCTACCTCTCCTGATATAACAAGAGTCGATTCTACCTCTCCTGATATAACAAGAGTCTATTCTACCTCCTGATATAACAAGAGTCTATTCTACCTCCCCTGATATAACAAGAGTCTATTCTACCTCCCCTGATATAACAAGAGTGGATTCTACCTCCTGATATAACAAGAGTCTATTCTACCTCCCTGGTATAACAAGAGTCTATTCTACCTCCCCTGATATAACAAGAGTGGATTCTACCTCCTGATATAACAAGAGTCTATTCTACCTCTCTCCTGATATAACAAGAGTCGATTCTACCTCCCCTGATATAACAAGAGTGGATTCTACCTCCCCTGATATAACAAGAGTCTATTCTACCTCCTGATATAACAAGAGTCGATTCTACCTCCTGATATAACAAGAGTCTATTCTACCTCCCCTGATATAACAAGAGTCTATTTTACCTCTCCTGATATAACAAGGGTCGATTCTACCTCCCCTGATATAACAAGAGTCTATTCTACCTCCTGATATAACAAGAGTCTATTCTACCTCCCCTGATATAACAAGAGTGGATTCTACCTCCCTGATATAACAAGAGTCTATTCTACCTCCCCTGATATAACAAGAGTGGATTCTACCTCCCTGATATAACAAGAGTCTATTTTACCTCCTCCCTGATATAACAAGAGTCTATTCTACCTCCCCTGATATAACAAGAGTGGATTCTACCTCCCCTGATATAACAAGAGTCTATTCTACCCCCTGATATAACAAGAGTGGATTCTACCTCCCCTGATATAACAAGAGTCTATTTTACCTCCTGATATAACAAGAGTCTATTCTACCTCCCCTGATATAACAAGAGTCTATTCTACCTCCCCTGATATAACAAGAGTGGATTCTACCTCCCCTGATATAACAAGAGTCTATTCTACCTCCCTGATATAACAAGAGTCGATTCTACCTCCCCGATATAACAAGAGTGGATTCTACCTCCCCTGATATAACAAGAGTCTATTCTACCTCCCCTGATATAACAAAAGTCGATTCTCCCTCCCCTGATATAACAAGAGTCTATTCTACCTCCCCTGATATAACAAGAGTCGATTCTACCTCCCCGATATAAGAAGAGTGGATTCTACCTCTCCTGATATAACAAGAGTCTATTCTACCTCCCCTGATATAACAAGAGTGGATTCTACCTCCCCTGATATAACAAGAGTCTATTCTGCCTCCTGATATAACAAGAGTCTATTCTACCTCCTGATATAACAAGAGTCTATTCTACCTCCCCTGATACAACAAGAGTGCATTCTACCTCCCCGATATAACAAGAGTGGATTCTACCTCCCCTGATATAACAAGAGTCTATTCTACCTCTCCTGATATAACAAGAGCGGATTCTCCCTCCCCTGATATAACAAGAGCGGATTCTACCTCCCCTGATATAACAAGAGTCTATTCTACCTCCCTGATAAAACATGAGTCCATTCTACCTCCCCTGATATAACAAGAGTCGATTCTACCTCCCCTGATATAACAAGAGTGGATTCTACCTCCCCTGATATAACAAGAGTCTATTCTACCTGATGATATAACAAGAGTCTATTCTACCTCCCTGATATAACAAGAGTGCATTCTACCTCCCCGATATAACAAGAGTGGATTCTACCTCCCCTGATATAACAAGAGTCTATTCTACCTCCTGATATAACAAGAGCGGATTCTCCCTCCCCTGATATAACAAGAGCGGATTCTACCTCCCCTGATATAACAAGAGTCTATTCTACCTCCCCTGATATAACAAGAGTCTATTCTACCTCTCCTGATATAACAAGAGCGGATTCTCCCTCCCCTGATATAACAAGAGCGGATTCTACCTCCCCTGATATAACAAGAGTCTATTCTACCTCCCCTGATATAACAAGAGTCGATTCTACCTCCCCTGATATAACAAGAGTCTATTCTACCTCCTGATATAACAAGAGCGGATTCTACCTCCCTGATATAACAAGAGTCGATTCTACCTCCCTGATATAACAAGAGTCTATTCTACCTCCCCTGATATAACAAGAGTCTATTCTACCTCCCTGATATAACAAGAGTCTATTCTACCTCCCCTGATATAACAAGAGTGGATTCTACCTCTCCTGATATAACAAGAGTCTATTCTACCTCCCTGATATAACAAGAGTCTATTCTACCTCCCCTGATATAACAAGAGTCTATTCTACCTCCCCTGATATAACAAGAGTCTATTCTACCTCCCTGATATAACAAGAGTCTATTCTACCTCCCTGATATAACAAGAGTCGATTCTACCTCCCCTGATATAACAAGAGTGGATTCTACCTCCCCTGATACAACAAGAGTCTATTCTACCTCCCCGATATAACAAGAGTCTATTCTACCTCTCCTGATATAACAAGAGTCTATTTTACCTCCTGATATAACAAGAGTGGATTCTACCTCCCCTGATATAACAAGAGTCTATTCTACCTCTCCTGATATAACAAGAGTCTATTCTACCTCTCCTGATATAACAAGAGTGGATTATACCTCCCCTCATATAACAAGAGTCGATTTTACCTCCCATGATATAACATGAGTCGATTCTACCTCCCTGATATAACAAGAGTCTACTCTACCTCCCCGATATAACAAGAGTGGATTCTCCTCCTGATATAACAAGAGTGGATTCTCCTCCCTGATATAACCTGATACAACAAGAGTGGATTCTACCTCCCCTGATATAACAAGAATGGATTCTACCTCCCCTGATATAACAAGAATCGATTCTACCTCCCCTGATATAACAAGAATCGATTCTACCTCCCCTGATATAACAAGAATCGATTCTACCTCCCCTGATATATAGTCCGTTATATATAGTCACCAGGTTTTCGCGAAAAGATGAGGGTATCTAGGCCCAGAGATAGCATCCTTCACAAAAAACTGTATCAGTAACTTTTGATGGATTTACTAAATCATTCAGTTCGTATATTAAGTTGGCTGGTGCAGTCCGATTGTTCACTCTTCATTGTTCCCTTTGTGAACCATATAAGACAAAGGACAATATTAAAAGGACAATGTCCAGTCAATCACTGCTGTCCTGGTTTCAGCTGTTATGATTCTATTCTACTCCATCCTGGCCGCCGTGAAAATGGTTCGGGCAGCTGGAAGGATGCACGCCAACATGCTGTCCAGGATTCTCAGATCTCCGATGTCCTTCTACGACACCACCCCTATCGGCCGGATCGTGAACCGCTTCTCTCGGGACGTGGAAACTGTGGACAACACCCTGCCCGCTCTTATCAGGATTTGGATCAACTGTGTGTTCAATGTCATGGGCACGCTCATCGTCATCAGCTACAGCACCCCCATTTTCTTGTCCGTGATCATCCCTCTCGCGATATTCTACTTTCTGGTGCAGGTACAGTACCACTATCTTCGTGTCTATTATCGTTCCCCTTGCGATACTCTACTTGGAAAGGCAGTGCCCTTTTCCCTGTCAGTCATTGTAAAGTTTTGCCATGGGTTGTACTCTCATATATCAGATGACACACTCACAGTGTCGCTCGAGCGTCGTCAAGTGTTAAATCGCAGACACTGGTAGGTGACACTGTGGCTGTTCTCTTAGCTTATCTAGGATAACAGGATGACCATCAATTGATGCGAGAACACTAGGTGAGACTTTGATGATATTATTTTCTCATTATTGCTTTTAATCGCACTTGTTTCTTCAGAGATTTTACATACAGACATCTCGTCAACTGAAGCGTCTGGAATCTACTACAAGGTCTCCCATCTATTCTCATTTTGGAGAGACAATCACGGGCGCCCCATCTATCCGGGCGTACAAGGTCAACGACAGATTCATCAGGGAATCCTCCGAAAGAGTGGACAAGAACTTGACCTTCTTCTCTGCTGGACTGGCATCTAACAGGTGACTTGATGCACGCATATTTAGTATGCTGTCCTTTTCCCGGCTAACCATGACACTCTGTAGGACTGACCACTACGTCCTGTCTATGTACAATTAAACCTGTCGGATTGTGTCGGATTAGACAGGTGTCGGTGTTGGCAGGTTTCACTGTAGTTCATATTAAGAGACACTCAAGAAGTACTTTTGGACCTACGACTAGCAGGGTTTGGCTGGACTGTAGTTATGGAGCAGTGTAACAATATTTGTCAGAGATACCTAAACAAATTGTTAAGCGGTCTTAGCACGGCAAACTAAAGTATGGCATAACGCGAGCTTCAACACTAATTTCAGAGTTGTCGAGGCATAGAATCGGTTTATTCTCACCAACTTTTCCATCATACTTACGGTGTTGTCAAAATCGAATTTGACGCATGAAGTGTTGTCAAACTCGTGTTGTTCAGAAACAACCAATCGCCAATCGCAGTCAGCGAATTTGTCATGTGACCGCACCGATAGAGACAAGGCGCGAAAGTTTGATAACATGTGTTTGACATGTGAAAATACGAGTTTGACAACTTTTGAATTTTTTAACAAGATGAGTTGACGTGTGAAGGCGGCTTTAGTCGCCCATCTGCCTTTAAAAGCAGACATGATAGGCAAGCAAAGGGGAACTGGAAGACAGCGGGAAGAGCGCGGACAGACCAGCGGATGGCAAGCCAGAGGCTAGGAGGGACGGACACTGACCAGCCTATCCAGCCATCTGCTGGCCAGTGTCAACCTGACTTCGCTGCCTCCCCCTGGTAGTGTTTGTCAGACTCGGCGTAAACTGCTAGCCCTACCTCACATAGATGCACACTCATCCTTTGTACGCCACTACGACTTGAAGACTGACAGATGTGTTCCAGCAGCACCAATTATGATTATGTCTGCATGATACCTATTCACAATTAAGTGGACAATTTTAGACTGATTGTGCTCCCTTCATTCAGGATCTAGTGTGTCTTTTTCTGAAAGTCTAGCGTCAGGTATGGATCTCCTCACATGGTTGTGAGCCGATGACAAGAGAGCTGCTGGGCGGCGTCAGAATTTTTATATTTTTTTGAAAGCGGGACAGCCTGGTGCTACATATTTGCCCTCTCGTGAACACCCGGTGTCATTGATTTTCAGTGGATCCTTCATATACTTTCCTAAACTATTTTGTCTTTTACGAAATCTGTGGTGGTTGTTTTCTGTTATTATGCTTGTATTCATATGTGTGGTGCTGTGCGTAGAGCTCAGATCTCGAATCAGTTAAAGTTAAGCAACATCGAGCTCGGACAGTCCTTGGATGGGTGACCGTGTTTGGCAGCTTGACTCCTGAAAGTTTCTAGGACTTCAGTCCTGCCCCACAACGAAACACATGCGATACATGTGGTCTCACCTTAGGCAAGTGAGTTTGTTCAAAGTTGTCTCTGTTCACACAGCAGAAAATGGGTGACTGTAACCTTCTAGCGCCAAACAGGCAGCTTGGGTTATCCGGGGTAATGATAATATTTTCAGATTCTGATTACAGCGTCCAGTGAGCAGCTAGTCAGATGGGGACTAGGCGCAATATAAATAAATTATTGTTATTTATTATGTTTTATTTTGTAACATTTTCAGGTGGCTTGCAGTGCGCCTGGAGTTACTTGGCAACTCAATAGTTCTGTTTGCAGCTCTTTTCTCCGTTATTACAACAGATCTACCCAGTGGAATTGTAGGTCTGTCTGTCTCGTACGCTCTGCAGGTAAATATTCCGTGGACTGTGCTGTTACAACATTACAACATAGGAAAACTAACGCTAAACTCCGTTACACTAACCATTGCTTGCTATCTTTGAGTGTCAACAAATACACTGTAATTTTAGATTCCTATTGCAAATAATGTACTATTCAATCTGTGTTATCTGATATTTCAGATTCGTGTTGCATTCGTTCAGTCATAACTAGAAAATAAACAAACGTTAGCTAGGATTCATATTTTTCAGATGCAGTGACACTGAACGTAATACGTTGCTTACAGTCTAGTATTATTTGTGAGTGAGTGAGTTTAGTTTTATGCACCACCCAGCAATGTTTTATTTGTGAGATGTGGAGGTCGTTTTTAACCCAGTTGTCCCATGTCCCGCAATCTGCCGTGCAGAGCTCTGTCCCTTGGGTCAGACATCTCTGATCGTGGGTGAAGCCCATTTCTGGTGTCCCCCGCGGTGATATTCCTGGAATATTGCTAAAAGCTGCGTAAAACTCACCTCACTCACTCACTGATCGTAGGTTCATTCCTTGCTCGTTGTGTGACCTGCTCTGTCACGAATGCGCAGGTAGGAAGTCGGACGGTGATTCTTCGTACCGAAATTGACGACAATCCGTCGGCTTCTGTCGATGATCTGGGCCCGTCTCCTTGACTGGGGACCGTCTCTCTGACTGAGTCAGTCAGGTTTTATGGGTGGAGACATTACGCCATGTGGTGCAAGGTCACTGACCCAAGCACATGTACATACGTAAGATCCGCCGACGTGAAGATGTGTTTCCTGACCTTTATAGATAAACCCTGCGGATGTGTATAATAACAGGGCGGTGGGGTATCGAAGTGGTTAAAGAGTTCGCTCGTCGCTCCGAAGGCTTCGATTTCCCACATGGGTACAATGTGTGAACAATATTTCCGGTGTCCCCCGCCGTGATATTGCTGGAATATTGCTTAAAGCGGCGTAAAACCACACTAACTCACTATAATTAGAGGGAATACACCGAATGTTTGCTGAATTCATTAAAGGAAGGAGATCAAATGTTGGTGCACTGTGGACACACATGGAAACAACAGCGTCTTTGGAATAAATGGTTCAGAGAAACCTTTAGAAATGGTTTGCACCATTACGATCGATAAATGATTTTGTCCTCCAGATTACCCAGTCTCTAAGCTGGATGGTTCGGATGACCTCTGACATCGAGGCCAACATCGTGTCTGTGGAGAGGATGAAGGAATATTCAGAGATATCAACAGAGGTGATGCCAATATGGCTGCTCAGTAACGTATATGCCACAAGACTTTCATAACTCCCGCAAATTAAAATGACCGACACTAAAATATGTTATTATAGCACCAGCTGCTGTCTCAGTAATTGCTTCCTGTGCTTCTTAAGTCCAGTACGTGCTAACACATGGAGAAACCCAGTTTCGTGCATAATAATAATTATAATAATACTAAATTTGTATAGCACCTATTTTCCAACTTTGAGCTGCTCAATGACTCTCATCATTGGAGAGAATTTACATATCACATGCTTGTTGAAACAAGAACGTTTTGAGACAGGTCTGGAAGATGTGTGATAGCTTCCTGTTTTGAGTTCAAATGGTAGATTGTTCCACAAGGTGGGGGCAATTTTGGAGAAGTCACGATCAGCAAGTTTAGTGGATGTTGAGGGAACTGAGAGATTGTACATATATCATCCAGGGTGCCGTTGTACAAAACAACCTTAGCGCTAAAATTACCTTAAGTCTATGTTAAGGTATGGGAGTTACGGTCACCTTAGTGCTAAAATTACCTAAGTCTATGTTAAGGTATGGGAGTTACGGTCACCTTAGCGCTAAAATTACCTTAAGTCTATGTTAAGGTATGGGAGTTACGGTCACCTTAGCGCTAAAATTACCTTAAGTCTATGTTAAGGTATGGGAGTTACGGTCACCTTAGTGCTAAAATTACCTTAAGTCTATGTTAAGGTATTGGAGTTACAGTCAACTTAGCGCTACAATTACCTGAAGTCTATGTTAAGGTATGGGAGTTACGGTCACCTTAGCGCTAAAATTACCTTAAGTCTATGTTAAGGTATGGGAGTTACGGTCACCTTAGCACTAAAATTACCTTAGCACTAAAATTACCTTAAGTCTATGTTAAGGTATGGGAGTTATGGTCACCTTAGCGCTAAAATTACCTTAAGTCTATGTTAAGGTATGGGAGTTACGGTCACCTTAGTGCTAAAATTACCCAAGTCTATGTTAAGGTATGTTAAGGTATTGGAGTTACGGTCACCTTAGCGCCAAAATTACCTTAAATCTATGTTAAGGTATGGGAGTTATGGTCACCTTAGCGCTAAAATTACCTTAAGTCTATGTTAAGGTATGGGAGTTATGGTCACCTTAGCGCTAAAATTACCCACGTCTATGTTAAGGTATTGGAGTTACAGTCACCTTAGCGCTACAATTACCTTAAGTCTATGTTAAGGTATGGGAGTTACGGTCACCTTAGCGCTCAAATTACCTTAAGTCTATGTTAAGGTATGGGAGTTACGGTTCAAAGATCGCGTTGAACAACGGCACTCTGGTGTATACATCTGCATCTGCATATCTGTATACATAGTATCGCAACTGCACAGATATCCCGCCATGTCGATAGTCGAACTGTCTGTTCAACAGTCCATTATTTACAGAACGCCATCATAGAGTGAAATATTACCATAGCGCTCCCATATGTCCTTCTCTAAACAACGTGAGAGAGCAAGGTTGCTTTGAGCATTATTGAAGGTATATCACGGCGTGGCTGGTTAAAAGGGGAGTAACGCCCGAAGTGATGACAGTTTCAGACGTTTACACTTTGTAGGTAATAGATGTGTAAGTAGAGAGTTGTCCCCCCTAGCAACCAGGGATTCGAACCCACAATCATAGGTATCAGGAGTGCTTTAGAATTTATAACAGTGACTAAACAGGAAATTACAGGTATAATTAAATGTTTGCCACTGAATAAAGCTGCGGGTCCCGACAGAATAAGTCATAAGCTTTTAAAAGAAACTGCTAATTCAATAAGTGCGCCATTATGTTTGCTTTTTGAATTGTCATTACGAAAAGGTGTGTATCCATCAGAATGGAAATTAGCACATGTAATGCCTGTATTCAAGAAAGGTGACAAAACTAAAGGATCAAACTACAGACCGATATCTTTCATAAGTTGTGTCGGTAAACTGTTTGAGAGAGCTGTATTCAAGCAGATATCTAACTATTTCAACGAGAACAAGTTATTGTACAAATACCAAGCTGGTTTTCAAGCTGGGAGTTCACCTGTCCATCAATTAATTGAAATATATCATCAAATATATGCCAAGTTCTAGATGATAAGGACCATAATTGTATGGTCTTTTGTGATGTTTCGAAGGCTTTTGATCGTGTTTGGCACAGAGGGCTTATACATAAATTGGAAATGTATGGTATTAAAGGTGATTGTTAGAGTGGTTATGTAATTACATATGTAATCGCCATCAAAAGGTCTTTGTTAATGGAGCGCTGTCTAAACCAAGGTTACTCCAAGCTGGCGTCCCACAGGGATCAGTGTTGGGTCCGTTTTTATTCATTGTTTATGTAAATGATATTGCTGATGACTTAGATTGCATAACGCGACTATTTGCAGATGACACATCATTAGGCAAGGCTTCTGGAAATCTTAACAGAATAGAAACCTCATTAAACGTAAATCTCAGAAGGTTCAACGACTGGGCAAACAAGTGGTTGATATCATACAACCCAGATAAGACAGAATCAGTACTTTTCTCACTTAAAGATGATATTTGCTCGATTAACTTATTATTTGACGATAAGATTGTAAAAACGGTAGAAGATCATAAACATTTGGGGATAATACTTTCATCGAAAGGCAAATGGTCCTCCCATGTATCTAATATTGTTTCCAAAACCTCTAAAAGGATTTACTCAATGAGAAAACTTAAATATATTCTTAACCGAAATACACTTCTAAAGATTTACACAGTTTTTATAAGACCTCGCTTTGAGTACGCATAGGAAGTCTGGGATGGCTGCGGAAAAGAACTAAGTTTAAAATTGGAAAGGCTCCGGATGGAAGCTGCAAGAATTATTACAAGACTTCCCAAATATTCTTCTTTTAATTCACTATATTATGAAACAGGCTTGGAAGCACTATCAGAGCGTAGAAGAATAAGAAAATTGTCTTTGTTCAATAATATTCAAAACAACAAAAGTCCAATCTACCTAAAATAAATAATTCCTCAGTTCGTGAGCTCCAGGAGTCAGTATAATCTAAGAAATTCAGGCAATATCTGCTTGCCAAGAACAAGAATGAAACATTCTCATGAGTCGTTCTTCCCATCGACTATAAGATGTAAGAAATTGTACTTCACTATCAAAGTTTAAATCGAGCATAATAACATCATATAACTCAGCTCCACCGTACTTTTCTTACGGTTTTAGAAAATTTAACATATTACATACTCAACTACGTCATGAAGCTAGTGGATTAAGTTACGATCTGTACAGAGTAGGGCTAATCATTGATCAATCCTGCGCATGTGGAAACCCATGCGAAATTGCTCATCACTATTTCTTAGAATGTTCTTTATACAATCAACATAGAAAGATCATGCTTATAGCTATTCAAGATGTATGTGGTAGTAATTCTGTGATTACATTATCTGTTATTTTAAACGGCATTGCAGATCTGACAAATCATAAAAATGAAATTATATTAAAAAATGTACATCAATATATATGCAAATCTAAACGATTCCAGTAGTCTTCTCTCTATACACCTTTTGTATTATAACATTTCCCCCTGTCATCTCTCAGTCTTTCTCTGTCTCTGTTTCTAATAATTGCTTGTGATGTAATTAGTTATTTTTAATATCTTGGAGAGGGGTTTAATAACTTGAAAAAACTTGTCCCCGATCCTTTTCACATTGTGAATAAAATATGTTTAAAGTAAACTATCTGGAATGTCCAAGGGAACACAACGACCTGTTGACTGAGCCATTTGTGACCCACTGATATCCGTTGATGTAGAAGGTAGACACAGGCTTGACATACGAGAGGAGAGCAAAACGTTTTGAGAACTCACTACCTAAAAAAAGTTGTGAAACAGCTAGTAGTATTGCATACATTGATCATTCATTTGAAACCTGTGAAAGTTTCTACACCTCGCAACACACGGTATCAATATTGTGATAACTGGAAGAGTGAGTGAGATATTGTGGTGACATCATGACTGTGTTCCTTTATACCCCGAAAGTCTGGATTGTTCCTGACAGTGCCGATCACTGGATTGTCTGGTCCAGACTTGACACGCAGCCTTCACATGGTTACTGCTGAACAAAGAAGCACGCATTTTGCCAAACGTTTATTTGCAATGAATAATGGACGTGAAATGATATCAATGATTTTGGGTTCGAATCCCGAGCTGACACGCCAAAATACAATAATCTTCAAGCTCATTAAACTCACTCACCCGCCGAGGAAGAAGCTCCAAGTCGTACAACTTAGTTGCATCAACTACCAGGGACTTTTCTGTGACGATGTGACGACATCTGCAGCTACAACACACCTTCATCACGTATTTCAGGCTGAGTGGAGCGACCTCTCGCGGCAACCCTCAGCGTCATGGCCAGAAGAGGGCAAGGTGAAGTTTGATGACTACATGACCCGATACAGACCTGGCCTTGACCTTGTGTTGAAGGGCATCTCGTGTGACATCAGAGGAGGGGAGAAGGTAATTCATTTGAAGATTTGTTTTATATCGTATGTGTAATTAAATGTTGCTATTCAAACGCTTGGTCTGGTTGTTATATAACATCAGTCATACACTGTGCATTCACTGCCTCTCCCTGCAGATCGGTATCGTGGGCAGAACCGGTGCTGGGAAGTCGTCTCTCACTGTGGCGCTGTTCCGGCTGATTGAAGCTGCTGGTGGTCGGATCGTTGTCGACGGTAGAGCTATTGATGATATGGGTCTGCATGACCTAAGGTCAAAGCTCACTATACTGCCCCAGGTAAATATCCGAGACATCACTTCCTTGTTTGAAGACATTACATTCAGTGATGACAACTTTTTTATGTTGGAAATTTTCTTAACCGTTTTAAGTTTATGGTGCGTCAGTGAAATAAGCACTGAGGTGTCATCTCCAGCTGATCTGTTCCTCCCTCCAGGACCCAGTCATCTTCTCTGGTACCCTGAGGATGAACCTTGACCCCTTCAACAGCCACAGCGATGAGGATCTGTGGCATGCGCTGGAGCACGCTCACCTGAAGACGTTTGTGACGGAGCTCCCTAGTCAGCTGGAGTACGAGTGTGGAGAAGGTGGATTGAACCTCAGGTAGGTTACGTGTAAGCATCTGTGGCAAGTATTTCAGCATGCTCACCTGAAGACGTTTGTGACGGAGCACCCCAGTCAGCAGGAGTATGGATGTGGAGAAGGTGGACAGAACTTAAGGTAGGTTACGTGTAAGGATCTGGGACAGGTGTTTGAGCACGATCATCGCAAACAACTTTGTGACGAATCTCTCAGATTCAGTACAACTGTCTCAGCCTCGGGTAAGTGTTACACACTTGTTGGTCGGAGGTGTATGATATGGGATCTTTAGAAACTGAGCTGCTTTATCCAATGAACGTGGCGTGTTTCAGTGTTGGGCAGAGGCAGCTGGTGTGTCTAGCTCGGACGCTGCTCAGGAAAACCAAGATCCTGGTCCTGGACGAAGCTACAGCAGCGGTTGACATGGAAACCGATGATCTGATCCAGAATACCATCAAGACGGAGTTCAGGGACTCGACTGTGATCACAATAGCTCATCGACTCAACACCATTATGGACTACGACAGGTGAGTTATGCATGTGGTCAGCTGTGTTCATTGTAGCTCACAGCCTCAACAACTTCGTGGACTACGACAGGTGAGTTATGCATGTGGTCAGCTTTGTTCATTGTAGCTCACAGCCTCAACAATCTCATGGACTACGACAGAAGAACTCATATTCTTGGGAAGGCCTACACTTTACATGTTTCTTAAGACCATTTAACATCATGAATAGGTGCTCATTGTCTCAAACACTTTCAAGTTATATTTTGTGAAGTAACATTTCTGCATTTATAGGTTTGAAATTCTGTTTTTCGTTAACGATCGAATTCGGTCGTTAACGGTTTCTGATAACCCCAATTATATAGAACATTACGTCATACCAATGGCATGAGCTTAATCCGGATCCGTCCGTGGCGGGATGGTTACCTGATGGAACCCTTGTGTTGCTGTTTCCAGGATCCTGGTGCTGGACCAAGGTCTCATCAAGGAGTTCGACTCCCCGGCGTCCCTCCTGGCAGATAAACACAGCGTCTTCTATGGAATGGCCAAGGATGCAAACCTGGTCTAGATGTCGCCCTTGTGGAACAGATGTCATTATCGTTCACATCAGCCTCATGATATCTCTGGTCCATCTGTGGATCTGGATCTGACATCTTTAGGCGTCTATGGACATGGGTTTTTTTTGTTTAGATCCTGTAATACAGTTTTGTTTCGTCTACGGATATCTTTGACCCGTCTTTGGGCAGCGATGATCCATCTGTTAATATCTTCGACCTAGTATGGACCACATTGTCATCTTTATGAATATTTAATCAGTATCTGGAAATCTTTGAATAACCCGTGGGAGTCAATAAATCACATGCACATATTTATGCCATCACTCATGATTGCAAAATCACTTCTGGTTATTGTAGGTCCACAGCCTAAGTATTCTTCGTTTAAATGTTTGGCAAAGATATGGAGATTTATTCAGATAATTAGCCCGTTTGCCACATCTGTGGCAATATTACAAATCTATCATTGTTGTTATTGGAACAGTAGTTGTAGGCGTGGCGACCGTCACTCGCCATGCAATGTATGTGGCAGTATGGAATATGTAAGTAGAGCGGAAAACACCTACACCTTAAAGTTTTAGTATTTTAATAGAAAGTGAAAAGTCTTCGTGATGACTTCCTGTATTTACTCAGGATCATAACACACACATTCAAATCAGGACTCAGCTGTGTCCTGAAGACGGATATATCTGTCATACTTGTCCCCGGCATTTTGTACATTCCTCGCCTGAGTGGGTTAGGTGGCTGACTTTGTGAGCTGGCGATTAGGTGGCTGAGTGGGTTAGAATGCTGACTTTGTGTGCTGGCCATTAGGTGGCTGGGTGGGTTAGGTGGCTGACTTTGTGAGCTGGCCATTAGGTGGCTGAGTGGGTTAGGTGGCTGACTTTGTGAGCTGGCGATTAGGTGGCTGGGTGGGTTAGGTGGCTGACTTTGTGTGCTGGCCATTAGGTGGCTGGGTGGGATAGGTGGCTGACTTTGTGAGCTGGCGATTAGGTGGCTGGGTGGGTTAGGTGGCTGACTCTGAAAGAGTGGTTCAGATGGGACCTCAGCCCAACAAGTGTACTAGAATCTGTACCCTACTCTGAAAGTGTAATTCCAAATATAACATGTTACACTTGACCACTTTCTGAATGGGATTGTTTTATTCTGAAAGGTCATGTCTCAAACAAGTTTGTCTCCACGCCTTGTCTCTGTGACCATGTTGTACAGGTATCAGGTGTCTGACAAGGCATTTTCTGATACATGGAGGCTGGAGAATTCTTGGTAAATATGAAGATATTGCAGGTGTAGTTGTGTGGTGTAACAAAGACAATCTATACTGGACAAAATAAGTTAGGGATATTGGAATTTTTATTATTGATATTTCGTCAGTGTGTCAATGAATAAATAGATTATTATTCATAACTTCAAAATTTACATATATCCCAAACTATTTTTGTCCAGTATACGTTTAGTTTGCTGATATTATTATTCTCAGATTGTAACAGTCTCTTCCTGAAAATGTGGATAGATAAATGATATAGTAGATACAGACATAACGAATGTTCGACTGAAGCGAAATTAATCAGGGTGTTGTTGACCAGCGTTATCTAGTCGTACATGGCAGGACTACTTCTGCTTGTTGTTATTTTAATCCAGATTAACGTGATGAGGTTGAAAAGATGCAGACTTTGTATTTGTACAAACAGATTCCCTTAAAACATCTCATGTTGCCATTAGTGCATTTGGCCTCATGCTGTTGGTGACTGTTTGTTCAAGATTCAAGATTTCTATTACAGTATTAGAGGCCTCCAGCCCAAAGGACATGTTTTGTCTGAGAAACCTCCTTTCACAGAAGGTTTAAATAAAAGTGAATGAATGCAAACAAATGATACAAATGCAATATAAATAGTGAAACAGAATGCAAAGAGAACATTTGAAACAGCTTTTACCCACATGTGGAATATTGTATATTGTATGAACGCTTTAGTCACTTTTGATATTAAAGTTTACCTCCCTTGATAAGACTGTCAGCCAGACTGACTGACTGACTATGGTTTTACGCCGTTTTTAGCAACATTCCAGCAATATCAAGGCGGGGGACACCAGAAATGGGCTTCACAAATTGTACCCATGTGGGGAATCGAACACGGGGTTTCGGCGTGACGAGCGAACGCTTTAACCACTAGGCTACCCCACCGCCCCTCTGTCAGCCAGAGGTTTTGTTTTGCTTGGATAAATAGTTATTTCTCTTTCTTTTGGCAGACACATTGAAGTTTTAGGTTTCCAGATGGAAATTTATTCATATCTTTGGTGATGTTTTGGTGACTGTATTCATGTGAGACTGCTGACGCTGAAAGCTAATCATTGCACTGTTGCAGTTTATGTAGATGTTTGTGAAAGTCTGCTTTTCGGTGCAAACACATGTTCCACTTTAAATTAGTATACTCGTAGAAACGAATATGGGAACACATGAAAGTACAAGTGTTCCTTTATTTATTTCCAGAATTTCACTCACAGTGCAATACATACCTTGTGAAGAAACCAGGAAAAGAATAAAGGAACACCTGTACTTTCATGTGTTCCCTTATTTGTTTCAATGAGTATATAGAATTTTAAATATGTCATGATTTAGTATACACCGCCGGTAATAACATAATTTTACTTGAGGAAAAGGTGTTGTGTTGTTTTTCAATTGGTTAATTATACAACGTATGTGTTGATTTCTACTATTATTTGAGACTAACAAGCAAAACGTTATCAAATATTCCGCTTTTATGTCAATCGCTTGTAAATGGTCTTCACGCATTAGAAAAAGAACACTCATGAGAAGGGGCGGTGGGGTAGCCTAATGGTTAAAGCGTTGACTCGTCACGCCGAAGACCCGGGTTCGAATCCCCCCATGGGTACAATGTGTGAAGCCAATTTCTGGTGTCCCCCGCCTTGATATTGCTGGAATATTAAAGCGGCGTAAAACCAAACTCAGTCAGTCAGTCACTCATGAGAAAATATAAACTGATAAGTTATTGTTCTACCCTTTGATCGCTAAGAATGGTGGACCTGAAAGGAGACTGAAGTCCCGGCTACAAAGTATCTAATTCTTTTCTCACATAGTTTAGTTATAAACCGTGTTCTTGTACTATAAGGGGCCTCGGTGGGGTAGCCTCATGGTTAAGGCGCACGCTCATCACGCCGAGGACCCGGGTTCAATTCATCACATGGGCACAATGTGTGAAGCCATATCTGGTGTGTTTCTAGTGATCCTGATGGAAAAATGATAGATATGATGTGAGAGTCAATGTTTTGCATACGAGTGCCCTCCTAAGTACCAAGTTCCAATGATACTACAGGGTGATCATGCAGTATGAGCCAATGTAACCTATACCTTGTGTTGAGTAACTGTATACGAGACAGGTTGTTAGGTTGGTTTGCACATTATTGTTTGTTGTCATGATGGGTGGTAATAGTAAGTGAATGAAGCTCTCGTAAAATACCAAGAGACATTGTTCCTGAGTTATTTTAGTGACATACCTTCACCCAAGCCGGATGGCATCCTGTACCCCTCTCGTGGCCGTGTTTACAACTGGGCCTGTCTAAGCGCAAACGGTCATGGGGATGAAAATAGTCTAGTACTATTACAAAGAAAAGATAACTCTGAAATTACAAACATGACTCATATAATATCATATATCCCGTGGCTAAAAGAGCAATACAGTCATTCTCTTTGTAAACATGTTTCAGTGTTTAAAGTTTCTGATCCTTTAGCTCAACGTTTATGCTTAGATTTTGCTTTGCTTAGTTTAGCGAAGTTCAACGGTGCCGCCATTTTCCTGCTTCGAAATGCGTTTTACTACGCGCGATTTGATTGGTTTGCCACGATTCTTGGCAATAATGGCGTACGATTACGAGTCTTCTTGTAGGTCACGGAAAAAGGCGAGTAGTTACGAATGAATGGCATCAAGAAGCAAAATGCTTCCATAGTAGATTACAAAACAAATTAAAAGATCACAAACCCCCCTCAACAGCTATTGCATCCACATGAAGGTACACTTTCACCTTCATATAGCAATAAAATCAAAATAAATGACTTGCTCAACCAGCTCCTTTTCATGGTACAGGAAACTAAACAGACCAGGTCCGCACTAAATGTAGCCCGCGTGAAAGCATAAGACATCGTGTTAGAAATAACAACACTAGATATTGAAAGACATGGCCAGTTTTAATTTCCGGATGGATGCAAATTATAAAACATAAACATCTTACAAATCTTACAAACATCTTACATAAAATCATCCAATCACAGCTGCCACATGATTCATTCAGTCACCAGTGACGGCTGTACATTCTCGGTCTACATTCTGGTGTAGTTTTGTATCCCCAAATTACATGACACGTGTGATGGGAATGTTCCTGGTATAAGAAAAGCAACACTCTTTTAAAAATAATTAAGTAAGCCTCTGCTGAAGGTAGGCTCGATTTGTACTATCCATACACCGCGATACAATGACATGACTCGTACATTTAGGAATCAGTCTGAGTACGTGACTGATTTTGATTTTATGTCGCAGTTAGCAATATTCCAGCAATATCACTGCGGGGAACATCAGGAATTGTCTTCACACATTGTACCCACGAGGGGAAACGGACCCACTTCTTCGACGTGACAAGCAAACACTTTAACCATGACGCTACCGCACCGCCCCGGAATCAGTAGCAAGTAGTGATAACACCTAGATAACTACCTGGATAACACCAGGATAACTACCTGGATAACACCTGGATAACTACCTGGATAACACCTGGATAACTACCTGGATAACACCTGGATAACTACCTGGATAACACCTGGATAACTACCTGGATAACACCTGGATAACTACCTGGATAACACCTGGATAATTACCTGGATAAAACCTTGATAACTACCTGGATAGCACCTGGATAACTACCTGGATAACACCTGGATAACTACCTGGATAACACCTGGATAACTACCTGGATAACACCTGGATAACACCTGGATAACTACCTGGATAACACCTGGATAACTACCTGGATAACACCTGGATAACTACCGCCAAGACCGAATCGATTCTAACCTGACTTGCTACTTAACACCTTGTCTCATGTCGACGGGATACCTTTCTGAAAACAATGACTTGAAGCCAGCTCTCAAAACCATTCCTGATACAAAACTCGAGCACGTGGCCAGTTCAGTACTTTCAGCAGTAACGTAATATTATTGACATTTGTGATTGCAGTGTCGTTCAATATGGGTATTCGTAGATGCAGTGTCGTTCAATAAGGGTATTCGTAGATGCAGTGTCGTTCAATATTGGTATTCGTAGATGCAGTGTCGTTCAATATGGGAATTTGTAGATTCAGTGTCGTTCAATATTGGTATTCGTACATACAGTGTCGTTCAATATTGGTATTCGTAGATGTAGTGTCGTTCAATATGGGTATTCGTAGATGCAGTGTCGTTCAATATTGGTATTCGTAGATGCAGTGTCGTTCAATATGGGAATTTGTAGATGCAGTGTCGTTCAATATTGGTATACGTAGATGCAGTGTCGTTCAATATTGGTATTCGTAGATGCAGTGTCGTTCAATATGGGAATTTGTA